ATGTAAAATTGAGACCAGAAATCTTTGTCTTATTTACTGAAATAATTGGATGAATGTAGGCAGCTGGTGCTCCAATGCCCTTACACACACATACCTACACTCAATTTAGCTGTATGGAAGTGCAAATAAAAATCCAGTACAATGGTTATAATAAAAAAGACAACTGATGTTGAGAATGTGGAGAAATTAGAAACTCATATACAGCCAAAGGAAATGTAAAATGGTGCAGCCATTTAGGAAAAGTCTGATGACTTTTCCTCAAAAATTTAGACATAGTTACCATATGATCTAGCATTTTACTTCTAGGCATATACTCAAGTGAATTGAAAACACATGTGAAAACTTGTACACAAATGTTCTTAGTTGCTTTATTGATGAGAGTTGAAAAGAAGAAACAACCCTGTCATGTTTTTGTGTATCAACTTGTCTAGGTTATGGTGCCCAGTTTGGTCAAACACCAGTTTAAATATCATGAAGATATTTTTCAAATTTGATTATCACTAAAGTCATCAGATATTGAATAAAACATTACCCTCCATAATATAGGTGAGCCTTATCCAATCCATTGAAGGCCTAAAGAGCAAAGGTCCCCTGCAGAAGATAGAATACTGCCTCCAGGCTGCAATATAGAAATTCTGCTGACTTTTCAACTTCCAGATGAATCCTGCCACACCAGCTTTTCCCTGAATTTGCAGCCTCCCAATGTGCCCTGAATTTGAGAACTACAAGTGACCCAGTGATTCTGTTTCTGTGTGGTAGACCTATGTGGTGGACTATTATTCATAAGGAACAAAGTAATACATGTTACAACATGAATAATCCTTGAAACATGCTAAGTAAAAAAATCCAGACACAACAGGTCCCATATTAATTGATTTCCATTTACATGAAGTACACATTTCATGGTTTGTCTCCTAGGTTTTCATGTGTTGAAATTTAACCCCCATTGTGAGGTATTAAGGGGATGGAAACTTAATCCAACTCTGGTGTTTAGAGATGGGGTCCTTGGGGAATAATTGGGATTAAAGTTATTAGGGTGGAGCCCCATAATTGAATCTTGGAAGGTTCATAAGAGGAGGAAAAGAGAACACATTCTCTTGCTATGTGATACTCTTTGCCAACTTGGAATTCTGCCAGCAAAAAAAGTTATCACTAGCCTGGTACCGTGTTGCACACCTTTAATCTCAGTGGCTTGAGAGGCTGAAATGGGAGGATTGCAAGTTCAAAGCCAGCCTCAGCAATAATGAGATGCTAAGCAACTCAGTGAGACCCTATCTCTAAATAAAAACAAACAAACAAAAAAATAGGGATGGGATTGTGGCTCAGTGGTTGAGTGCCCCTGAGTTCAAACCCCAGTACCAAAAAGGAAAAAAAAAAAGTTATCACCAAATGTGGCCCATCATCCTTCACCTAAAACTATGACCCATAATAAACCTTAAATCACCCTTTCTATGATATTATTGGCAACAAAATAGGCTAATACAATCCAGAATAAACAAACCCAATGAGATGAAAAGTAGATTTTAGATTGTTTAGGGAGTGGGGAGTGAGCACTTAATGGGTATGGGTTTATTTTGGGGGGTGATGAGATGTTCTGAAATTAGATTGGGGTAATGGCTGCACAGCTTTGCACTAAAGACCACTAAATTGCTCTCTTTAAATGGGTGAATTATATGGTACATGAATTATATTTAAAGGTATTATTTAAGAAATAAGTATTATTCATTGCATCCCTCTCCCTCATTCCCTCTACCAAGCAATGTAAATGGAGCTTGCCACCATCCCCATGTTTTATGCTATATTTTGTGATAGCCCTTCATTCTCTTCAAGGCTGCTTAAGGGCTGCAGAGAGATCTAATTTGTGTTTTGACTTAAGCCCAGATCCTACCTATGGATAATACTAATGAGGGCATGGACTCAATACTAAAAAGCAAAAGTCATTGTTCTCAAGGAGCTTACAATGAAAAAAATCAGATCCAGGTGACTGGTTTTGCCTTAGATATCTTTCAAGAACTCTTTTTTTAATTTTTTAAAAATTGGTTGTTCAAAACATTACAAAGCTCTTGACATATCATATTTCATACATTTGATTCAAGTGGGTTATGAGCTCCCATTTTTACCCCGTATACAGATTGCAGAATCACATCGGTTACTAAAACTTTTTTTGTTTGTTTTTTTTAAGAGAGAGAGAGAGGAGAGAGAATTTTTTAGTTTTCGACAGACACAACATCTTTGTATGTGGTGCTAAGGATCGAACCTGGGCCACAGGCATGCCAGGCAAGCGCGCTACCACTTGAGCCACATCCCCAGCCCTTTCAAGAACTCTTAACAGACCATACAGAATTCTATGGAAGGAAGGCATCCTTCTTCCCTAGGAATTGATACTCTGGACCTTGTTCATTACTTCCCACCTACCAGCCACTTGTACATTTGTGACTGGACAATCAGCCACTTGTTGCTCATCTCTCTTCCTCTCCTCTTGTAGAGGCCAGCTAGCTGCCTTTTACAGAAGCAGCTCCTGGAACGTCTAGGAGCCATTTTTCTTCAGGCCATGGTGGCATAGAAACCTCATCCCTATCCCAAAGCTTTATGTGATTTCAGGGGCTTCTGAATGCTGCTTAAGATGCAAAGAGCTTTTAGATCAGATAGCTTTTAGGCCCATTATTTGTTCCTTCTGGATCCTAGGCCTCCCTTTCTTGCAGAATTTTGGTACTTCCTGGAGGGGAAAATTGACCCTTGAGCATTACCTAGAATTTAGGGGGCCACTTAGAGGTACCACCTCAGCAAATTAGCCCTTGGGAGATCTGTGCTTTCAGTGGGGAAGGGGCTACTGGGCAGGCTCACCACTACCAACATTTCCAGCATCTCATCCTAAGAAGAGTGAAGTTGGAATCTAGAGATTGCTTTAAAGGGTAAAGAGTATTAGATAGCAATAGGGAACATCTTCTTTTAAGTTTCTCCCAGCAGGGCAAAGGAAAAGGGAAATCAGAGACCAGAGATTTAGTGTCCTAAAGCGCCAGAAAGTCTTACGGATGAAAATGGAGAAGCTGATGGATGAGAGGAATCAGATGGCAGGAAATTTACAGGTCTGTAGCAGCCATGGGGGAATCCAATAAAAGCATTATAGTAGGACTTCTGCCATCAAGAAGCCTATAATAATTTAGTTGGGGCATAAAAGTTTGTACACTTGAAACAAATTTGTAATTTGGTGCTAAACTGGTATTTGACAAAAATGTCTGAGAAGGGACTGGTCATGTAGGCTGGCTTCCTCTGAGCTGAATGAGTGAATAAGGCAGTGTTCATTCAGCCAAAGTACTTTAAGCTACAGTGCCTACAGCTTTTAGAGATGAGTGTGTCTGAGTCTTGCCTGGTTTCATGGAGGAAGTATGGGGGAGGAAGTTTCGTCATCATTTGTCAATCACCATTGTCATCAACAAGATCCACAGTAAACATTCATTGCACATCCCTTCCTCACTAAGTTTACACTTATATTGGGGAGGCAGAGCAAACAAAGAGTTGAGGGACTAGTTAGTACAAGAGACATGTGCCAATAGCACAAAGCTAGGAAAGGGTTGGAGAGGAGAGAAAGCTTGGAGAAGGTCATTCTGGAGCTGACCCTTGAAGGAAGGTTTGCATTAATAGAGGAAAAGGTGAATGGGGCTATAAATAGCATCAACAAGGCACATAAGGTGGTAGTGAGCAGGTTGAATATAAATGAGAAAACCTGCTGGACTGGAGCAAAAGGTGTGTGGTAGGGTAGCGTGGGCAATTAAAGTTTGAGAGAGAAGCAGGGTGATTACAGAGAGCCTTGGATGGCAGAAGAAAGGAGTTATTTTGGAACAAAGTAGAAAGGCATTGTAAATTTGCATATTTGGGGACTGGTAAAGGCCTGGGGAAGAAAAACTAGAACACTAGGGTTCTATATTCTTCCTAGCCTCATTCTCCCGTGTTAAGATGATTAATCTATTCCATCCTAGCAAAGTGGAATGAGTTAGTCACCCTGCCTGAGATCCATCTTGCAAGCAGGTTGCTCAGTATCCCCAAGATGATCTGTATTGTATGCCCCTGGTAGAGAACCTCTTTCTAGTTAGAATGTTTCAGGTAATCAGTACTTGGACTGAAGTTCTCTATACTGTTGACCTCTAGTGTGAAATGGGAAGGAGAAAGTATCACCCTCTTAGCCCAGCTGCTACCACAGGTGCAGATCAAGATGGAGAATCTGCTTCAGAAAGCAACAACCCTTAGATGCTGAGTCTGTCCCCGAATCAGCCCTGAGGAAAGGAGGCAGCAATCCAGGAAACCTTAAAAAAAAAAAATGATAAGACTAAGTCTATCTTGAGGCCATCCTTTTGGTGGCTAACTTGACCACTCCTCACTGATTCTTTTAACTGCACCAACAGGAGATTGGCACAGGCTCTAGTACATTTATATTACCACCCAGAGGCAGATGTTTTCTCCTTTTCTCTGGGGTTTAGAATTATGCAAATTAGGCATGAAAACAAAAGCTTGGCGAGGTGGGGGAGGATTGCACTTAAGAATCCAGCAAATTTTCAGAGCTAAGACATGTCAGTTTTACTAACAGCACCCTTGGCTACTTGTCAGTCTATTTAGAATTTGGCCCCTCTTTGGAACGTTTTAGCCCAAAACCTGAAAGTCCATAAAGCTCCAGTCCTGGCTTCATTTTGCAAGTGGAGAAATCAAGGCGTATAATATGAGCTTTCAGTGTCTGTGGGCTAGTTTTGTGTCTTGATTTCTACCCTGTTTAGTCTTCCTTTAGCTAAAATCAACTGAAAAGGAAATTCTTTCCCAATTGCCTCCCAGGTACCCTCTCCTGTGATATTATCTGGAGGGCAATAGGACCTAGGGAGGTTCAACCCTGCGCCCAAGGGAGACACACCTGCCTAACCGCGTGGGTTGAGCTAGTGTGGGAGCAGCCACTTAGCTAGTTAGGGAGGGTGGGGGTAGAAGTGGGTGCCTTATGCTCCTGGGGAGAGGAAAGCTTTGGCTCCCTCCTGGGTCTGGGGGTCGTGCTGAGCAGTGCTTCTGAAGAGTGGTCCAAGCCCTCCTTGTCGCGCCTGTACCCGGAGCATCCTTTGGCTGATTGACTTGGAACTCTCGGGTTTCTTTTTTTGGCCCCAGCTGTCCCTCCTATCTCGCCCGCCCCCGCCATCCAGGTGCTTTAGCGCCTGAAGCCACCGGACCTCTTGTGGCTTGAACCGCAGGCCAGACTAGACCCGGGCAGCCTACAGCGTCCAAGAGTTTGGCGACATCTGCCCGGCCGGTTTGGCGGCTTGCACCTTGTGCCTTTCACTAGCAAAGTTTCTGGGTGGAGAAGCCCCTCCAGCCTTTGCTTGATTCCAGGAGCAAGCGTGCAGTTCTTCTCTCCCTAGTGACTGAGCTTGAGGACGGAGTAGTGACATTACTCCTGCCCCCAGCCCGGCTGTCTTGGAGGCGGGGCCTGGGGAATCCGTAGAGCCACCTGGAGAACCTGTGATTTGGCGCGGATCTTGAGAGAGCACCGGTGAACACATGAGAGGGCGAGCTAAGAGCCATAACCTAGAAGTAGCTAAGGTATCCTGGCGCTGAACCCAATCCTCCAGGGAACGCTCAAACTGCGCCCTTTCTTCTGCTCTGGCTCAATTTGCTACTGAATTGAGAGGGCACACTGCTCAGAATATCTCCCGGGGAGCTGCTAGCAGTGTCTTGACAGAGTGGCTACCCTCCTGCCTGGAGCCGGGGGGCGAAAGGAGCTGCCACGGAAAGGAAAACGCTGTTCCCATGTCTTTTCATACGCTTGGAACTGGACTCCTGACTCGGCGCTGGGATGCTTGCTTTTGCCTTGTCCAAATTTCTCAGCACGTATATTGACGATTGGATTCCTGGGCCAATCAAGAATCAAGTTCAGAGTGGTCCTCTTGGACTCTTCATCCCAGACTCCACATCTAATTGGGTCTAGAAGACAGGAGTCTCTGGTTCTAATTAGTTGATCTCCATTCTGGAATTCAACTTGACAGAGCCCACTTGACTGTTACTTGGACTGCAGTGGCTGCAGGTTCTGTTGGGATGGGTGGAGTGGTGCTGTGAACACCAGACCACAACACTCAGAACCTCCACAATGGACAGAGTTTATGAAATTCCTGAGGAGCCAAATGTAGATCCAGTTTCATCTCTGGAGGAAGATGTCATCCGTGGGGCCAACCCTCGATTTACCTTTCCATTTGGTATCCTGTTCTCCACCTTTTTGTACTGTGGGGAGGCTGCATCTGCCTTATACATGGTTAGAATTTATCGAAAGAATAATGAAACCTTCTGGATGACATACACCTTTTCCTTCTTTATGTTTTCATCCATTATGGTCCAGTTGACCCTCATTTTTGTCCACAGAGATCTGGCCAAAGACAAACCACTGTCATTATTTATGCATCTAATCCTCTTGGGACCTGTTATCAGGTGAGCACTTTTTAAATCTCTACATACCCCCTCAAAACTTGTGCAGAGAAAGAGAAAACTAATATTCACAAGACTGATACTGTGCCTCTAATCTTTTTACAAAATATTTATTTTTTAGAAGTACTTGGACACAATACCTTTATTTATTTTTATGTGGTGCTGAGGATCAAACCCAGGGCCTTGCATGTGCTAGAGGATGGTTCTACCACTGAGCCACAACCCCAGCCCCTGGGCCTCTAATCTTAATGACTCTCCCATTCCTTTCCATTCTTGGCTTCCCTGCCTGCCATCCAGAAAACTTATCTGGAACCTTAAGTGCCAAACTGATGAACATGTGGCATGTATCTGTGTTCCAAAACTGTAAATGATACCATCTAAGAGATTTCATTAAATTATGCATGATATTTGGATTTGGACTGTGGAAACTGATTTGAGATTAACAGATGTGGTCACCCTGTGCACACAGGCCAATAGCTGTAGAGTGTAATTTTTCCCTTGGTGCTGGATTGAACCCAGGGCCTTGGGTATGCTAGACAAGTGCTCTACTACTGAGTTACATACACCCCCACCCAACCCAGAGTGTGTAATTTTAACTTTGTCTTTCAGACATTTTGTAAATGAGATGAAAGTTTTTCCTTGCATCCCTCATATCCCACATTTATTTTCTTTACCTTGAGCTACTTAGGCTGCTGCTGCTGCCATTTTCAAATTCTATAGTTATTTGACATCTGGAAAATACCAAAATAGCTACCAGTGGTAATCCGGTACCCCAACCCAATGTAGTTCATTTTTCTCTTTCAGGTCATCAAATCTCCTGTTTATTTATTTATATTCTGCAAAAAAAGTACACAGTTGGAAGGGGGCAAAGGAATCCATTGCTGTCTGGATGCAGTAGCACAATGTAATAGAATCATGTGTTCCCATCCAGGTTGCTTTGAAGGGAAGATAATGTACTTAATTGTAGGGAGACAGGAATCTGTGTCAACAGTCTCATTTGGATACTATAGGGTTTTCAAAGTAGACATTGCAAAACTTATGAGGTCAGGAGGGAGGAATGGACCAAGTTTGTCATGATTGCAAGAGAGACAAACACCTTCTCAGTCAGCTGAGAAATATGGGTCAGAGTGTTAATGTTGTAATTGGCTGGGAAGGTATCTCATCATTAAGAACTAAAAATAGGCTATGAAACTGGTTAAGGATGGAACTTCCCCGTTTATAAAAAATTTTATCTGTAAATACACATAATTTTACTGACAATTATACCTTCAAAAAGCTTGAAAAAAATTTTATCAGTATGGTTTTAATGGAGAGGAATTGATTAGGCTTCATCACAGAAAATATGAGATATCTTAGAGTGGCCTGGAATTCAGGAGACCTGGAATCTAGTCCTCCTTCTGCCATTGACTAGTTGTGTGGCCTTGGTGAAATCTCAGAAGATGCCTTGGGCTTTAGTTCCCTCTTTTGTAAAATAAATTGTCTAAGCTAGATCACGAATCCTAAATGCTTGCAGGAACCAGGCAGGTAATTTAATGATTGATGTAGGGCAAGTATGAGAAAACCAGTAGTCTCATGTGTGATGATAAATGAAAACAAAGTCTCATTGTTAGAGAAATGTTGGGAAGTATCATGGTAATCTGGAGTCTGTGACCTGCCTATAGAGGAGGCAGCCACTCTACAACTCCAGTCCATTATCCATGTGAGGATTCAGAGCCAGTATTGCCAGATCTCCTAATTTTTCAGGAGAATTTCCCAATGCAGGATTTTATATGAAATGTCATGACTTTAAATATTGGCAACTGACTTAAAACAAACAACATTGTATCAGTCCTTTGGACTGGGTGTTCTAAAGGTACTTTCCAGTTCTAAATTTTTGAAGTTATAAAGGAAGACCTTATCTTGAACTTGGAACCAAGAAATTTTAAGATGTCACTAGAGGAGCAAGGGAACCATTCTTCTGTCCCTTTTCAAATGCAATATATTAAGATCTAGAATTCTCAAGAAGCAAATTTCAGTGAGTAGCCAGACCCCAGGTTTCTTCTTCTTTTTTTTTTTTTTTCAGATCCCAGTTTTGACTTTTGCTTGTGACTTCCTAAGCTTCTTTGATTTGGACCCTCTGTATTCACTGTTTTTCATTTTTGTTGTTTAGCTTCCACTAAGAATAATTTAAAAAATATTTTTAGCCTCAATCACTTAAACCCACAGCAGGGAAAAGTAATTGAAAACTCATAAATTATATTCTTTTTTTTTTTT